TAGAAGTCTTTTTTTTTTAGAAGGCCCATGGCAAGCATGCAAAGTTCAAAAAGTTTTGGGAGTTTAGCTGAATGTCTAGTGGGGGTTTTTTTAATAAATAAAATTGGATCAATGTGATTTTATTTCCTTGATTATAACCAAGTATTTTCCTATAGCTTATATACAGTATTCCTTAGCATTTACTCTAATCCTTCTTAAATATTTTAGAACTATTATATTTTCCTTTTTATCTGAATTAATTGTAGTGTTGTGTTTTATCAGCTGCTCTATGACCTGCAGCCCTTGGTCAATTATATTGAAAGCTTACATTATTTTGTAAAACAAAGTTGTGCACACCAATCTTCTTTAAGTTAAATAGGCCCAGATGATCCAACATAGTCTTTCCCAATGTGACATCCTCCAAATGTATAAGGAACTACAATTCACATTAAATTCACAAATGGGAATTACAAAAGTTGAATTTTTTTCTAATTTTGTAAATATTGGGTCAGTATATTATTTCCAACAATATACCGACCCAATAAGAAATGATGTCACATAAAAGCTCATATTTCTGGTAATGAGAGTATCCAAGAATTGTAATGGAACAGTTAAAAATATAAAAAATTACAAACATGAAAAATAACTATTGTATTTCAAACTTTCCTCAAAATGAAAAAATAGAAAGCCTCTTTCAGATGATTAGGATACCAGGCAAGCCTCATTAATGTGATGGAATGTTCTGCTAAAAACATGCTACGTTACAAAAACTAGTGAAAGGGTAAAACTAAATATGTTTCTTCTTGTCTTCACTTTCCTGTTTATCATCATTAAAGACGGCTTAGTGTCAGTGGTATGCGAAGCAAAAACATTTTGAAATGCAGTGCAGAACTAACCATCATGAACGTGACAAAATTCTTACAAGACAAATATTTCTAATTTTCGGAAACTAGCCAAATTCGGGAAACAAATGTCAAGAATTCACAAAGCTGTAGTTTCAGGCTTATCATATGGCAACTGGTTACAGGGCATATTGTTGCGTTTTGAAACACAGTATGCACCATGGTTTAAGGATGAAGTTCAGTCAAAAAAACCAAAGATATGCTGCATTGAGTTTTATTAGCTAGGCAATGGACCTAAAAGGGAATTAAGCGTGATCAATCTTTAGCTTTTATCTGGAGACTAAAGATTATAAGAAACTAGCAGTGTATGACAAGTAAATTTGGATAAGAAAATTCAAGATTGGGAAAAGTGAGTGTCTGGGGGGCGGGGAGACTGATTTTGTGTTTGGGGGTTTGTTGGATTTGTTCTTGAGTTTGTATATTCTTGGGTTTGTGGTTCCCAAGAAATTCTAGTTGCATGCTTATCTTTACAAGGTAACAAGATAAAGTCTCTCCAAGAGCAGAGAGATGCAGAAAGTAAAACCAGTGGGAAAAATGGATGACAAAGAAATAAAGATGCCACTGTGCCCAGAAATAATAATAATGAAAAATCTGTTTAGAAGAACTTAAGGCCAGTTATACTGATAATGTCTAACCCAGTGGTGGGTTTCAAAAAGTTTTCCTACCGGTTCGGTGTGAGCACATGCTTTGCGTGCACGCAGCATTTGCAACTCACCTTCTGCTGCAAACCCTGTGTGTAAAACAGCTGATGCGTGGCAATTGGTTGTGTCGCGCGAAGCAACTGAGGTTGAAAAGCAGGAAACAAAGCCGGAGATATATAGAGCCAGGGTGGTTGGGAGGGCCCAGCAGCTGATCATCGGAGCGAATTGGTTTGCTCACAGATGATCCTCAGAGCTATCCGTTTGGCCATACGGGGCCAAACCGGTAGAATACCACCACTGGTCTAACCATGATTTTTACTTGATTCTTAGGAAGTTGTTCAAATGCCTAGAAACATTTTCATTGCAGACATTTTTGAATGAGCAGTTTATCTAAATCCATTTTGATCTGTTTATACACTGTATAGTCACAGAATGAGAATTGTTCCTTTTTATGGATGATCTATGTCAAGATTGGACATTAGAGTCCAGTACATCCTTATTGGCTTAATCTGACCTTTCTGAAACTTCTGCTTTTATTAAACCCCTAGTTGGGAAGTACATTTAGTTGTTTTATTTAATGACACAAATTTACATGGCTGCCCAAACTCACACATTGTGGCCCTGAGCAATGTACAACATTAAAATTTCACAATGAAAGAACCCCACCCACCCTAATGGAGTGGGAACTGCACAGTCAAAACAGCCACTTGATCAGCAGCTCCAGATCAACCTGGTGCCTCCTGGCCTTCTGGTGGAGCCATGTCTTCAGGGAATTCTGGAAAAATATAAGGGTGGAGCAGAGGTGGTATTCAGCAGGTTCTGACCAGTTCTGGAGAACCAGTAGTGGATATTTTGAGTGGTTCAGAGAACTGGCAAATCCCACCTCTGACTGGCCCCGCCCCCATCTATTCTCTGCCTCCCGAGTCCCAGCTGATCGGCTGGATCTTCTTTTGTTGCCCTGCACAGGAGAACGGAGCTGGAAAGTAGGTTAGTGGGATGGGATGGGGAATGGGATTTTGCAGTTACCTTCCCCCAGGAATGCGGAGGGAATGGAGATTTTACAGTATCCTTCCCCTGGAGTGGGATGGGAATGGAGATTTTACAGTATCCTTCCCCTGCCATGCCCACCAAGCCATGCCTACCAAGCCATGCCACCCACCAAGCCACGCCTACAGAACTGGTAGTAAAAAAAATTGAATACCACCACTGGGGTGGAGCCAATCTTACCTCCAGGAGAATAATATTCCAAAAGGAAGGAAGCCACCACAAAGAAAGCCCTTTTCGTTGGTGCCACTAGGTATACTTCCTTAATATTTGGGATTCACAATACACCTTGCATTCCCACGCCAATGGATTGTGTGGATGTTACTGGGGAGAAGCAGTCCTTCAAATCACCTGATCACAAACCATGCGGGGCTTTAAAAGTGATAACCAGCATCCTGAATTGGACACAGGAGCAAATCAGTAACCGATGCAACTCCTACAAAGGAAGGTAATACATACACAAATCTTTAATATGTTGGCCACTGCATTTTGAGCCAACTGAAACTTCCAGGAACTCTTTTAGGAGCGTTTCAGATTCTAAAGGACTTATGTTCCCTCTTTTCACCCTGCAACTGTCTTCAGATTCAGTACAAAGGCAAGATAGGAAGAGCAAACACAGTAGCTGCATTTCTATTAAAAGTATCACCTGAGTAAACAAAGCAAGCTAACACTGAAGAAAATATAATTATAAAATGTGGATAAAGTGTTTTTTTCCTTCACTGGCTTCTTGACAAAACTCTACTGAAATAATGGCAGTGTTTCTAATCTTTGCCTTGGGTAAATTTCATGCTGTTTGATGAGAGGTTTCCCAATTTAACATAAATACTGAACATGCATAATAATATTATAATATCATAGAAAGCAGGCAGCTTTTATGAGATTGTGGGGGTAGATTTTCAGTTATAATGGAGATTTCCTCCCACAAAGAGGGCTTTCTTTCGGCATACAGTAGACAGCCACTCCCTCCTTTGGGATATTAAAAGGAACAATTCTTGAACAGAGGGAGGCTCTTGCTGTGCAGGGAAAGAATGATAATCAAGTGCCTTTGAAATAATCAGAGATAAAATGCTAATTAGGCCAGAATAACAGAAAAGAATAGTGTGAACATTTGTAAAGAAGTCGGTGTGAATTAGAAACATGGCAACACTTCACAAAGTGGGGAAAGGCTTTGAATTATTTAAAGTTAAGAAAAGCAAGAAATGTTATGATACAACCTATTCAACAGCTTTCAAACCAAACTGTTTTTAGCAATGTGATTGCACTGATTTGTTACTCTCTTCTTCCAGGAGTTTTCTAAAATTCCGGTGTAGCCAATACTCCTGAAACTCCCAGGTAGTTCTAGTCCCATCTTAACCAAGATGAACCTTGCTTAGATTCTGAAATCCTGTTAAAGGGATGCATACAGAGGTGGGATCCGACAGGGTTAACTACCGATTTGGTGATTTACGATGTACTTCCCTCCACGCTGGGCGTGCATGTAAATCTTCATCAGCTTGCTGCTTGGACGGCTGAGCAGCGCTGTGTGCAGGGAAGCAGCGTTTGAAAAGGCACTTTTTTCCTGCTTTTTCAACCGTAGCTGTACCACACAAAGCAGCTGAGGTTGAAAAAGTAGGAAATAAAGGTCAGGTAAGAGCCCAGGTGGGCGGCTGGGCCAAAACAGCAGCAGACATAGAACCGGTTCTATGTCTGCTGCTCTTCAGAGCTACCGGTTCTATAGAGCCGGACAGAATCAGTAGAATCCCACCCTGCATATTACTGCTACTACATCAGTATGCTGCTACTACATCAGTTCCCCCAAAACATATTAACAATTCTCATGTTCCAGAAGATCCAATATTAGTTTTTACCTTTGCAGCTAGCATAAATTATTATAAATGCTTAAACTTGTCATGGTAGAGAACCATTTCCCCATGCTGCACCCTACTGTGTAACAGTGAATTCCATTTGAAAGCTGTGTAAACCAGGGCCATTTTAAAAACAAGGAGCCATAAGAAGACAAAGCTGGGACCTTGGCCATCTGCAGTTAGCAAAGGGAAGATCAGTGGAGGATTAAGGCTCACTGGTGCCCTAAACACTGACAAATCTTGGTGCCCTCCTCCTTTATACATACTGTACAAATGAAGCCAAGCTTAGGCTACAAAAAAGTTTTCATTTTTGGGGGCCTGGTGCCCTAAGCGCATGCTTAGTCTGCTTAATGGTTAATATACCACTGGGGAAGGCATTCAAAGGCATACTAGGCATCCAAGGGGAAAACCTTTTCCATAATATAATGACTATATATCTGGACTGGTCACCGGGACCAAAGATTTGTCTTCCAAGCTTTCAGGTTCATCTGAGCCTATCTTCAGGGAACTTCTCTCTAGCCTCTCTAACTTCTCTCTAGAGAGAAGTTCCCTGAGGATGGGCTCCAGCACAAGTCCAAAAGCTCAGAAGACAAAACCTCTGGTCGCGGTGACTGACCCAGATTGGATCTGGCAACATTCTCCTAGGACACATATATTCACCTTCTGTCTTCAAATATTGAGGGTTGTCACATTGTGGACGGTTTGGATTTATTCTCACTTGATGCACAGGATAAGACTAGAACTAATGGGGTGAAATGTCAATACAGATTGGACATTAGGAGAAACATCTTGACAATGAGATCTTTCCATCAATAGAATAGGTTACCACATGGTGTTTTTTTCGAGGTCTTCAAACAGAGTCATCTATTAGAAAAGAGCCATCTATTAGATAGTCATCTATTAGAAAAGATGTAGTAAACCCTGAAGAGTGCAGGGTTTAATAACCTCTTTAATAACCATGATTCTATTGGGAAATGCACACATGATGGCTTCATGTATCATTATGAGTTCACAATTCATAGCAAATCTGAGATTAATGGGATTTATTTAGGTAATAAATAATTTTAAGGGTTTATCAAATTAAATATGCAGTTCTATTCAGGCATTTTGTATTACTTTGGGAGTGGAAAGGGGTTATTGCTTTTTTATTGTTTTATATTGGTTTTTTATCTTTGTAAGTCCCCCAAGTCACTGAGAGTGGGTTGGGCAACAATATAAATTTTCTTAAATAAATAAATAAAATATATGTTTGCCTGGTTAATAAGGAAAAAAATCAGGAGCTTTATTTAAAGGGCATTCATCACCAGATATTGGAGAAGAGTCCTGAGAATACTACAGACAGCCAAGAAAACAAACTGATTGATCATCAAACAAATCAACCCAAGATTCTCCCTCAAAACACAAATGATTAGTTTCAAATTATCTTATTCCAGACACATTATGCAAAAACCCAACTCTCTGGAAAAGACGCTGACACTGGAAAAGGTGGAAGGAAAGAAAAGAAGAGCAACAAAATGGAGGAATCAGTTATAATAGCAATGAGTACACTACTTGAAAGAACAAATATAAAGATAGATCATCATCAGAACATCTACCTATATGGTTGCTGGGAGTCAAAAACAACTTAAGGCACATAATCAATCAATCCTAATGTTGTGATGGTCAATCAACAACATTACTGGAGGCTTTCCCACTTATCAGCTTTTTCCTACTAAGCTGTCAACATTTTGTCCAGCAAAAGAAAGGCTAGGCCTGATGCAGTGAAGATCATCCCACAGTTCCATCCACTTATTGTTCCAGAACTGTGAGTTTCTCAGGTTTCTAGATGTAGCAAGAAATGGTATCTGATCATAACAAAAATATAGATAATTTTCATCACAAAAACATTATGAATCTTGTGTGGATTCATCACTGGAGACAGGGGTTCAGACAGAGGAGCAAGTGATGTCATGTAAATGCCATAGTTTGCATCATTTGCATGATGACATAATGACATGCATCATGGCTTGTACCACATGCCTATGCTGGCCTGAAAGTTACTGGAAAAGTTTACTTTCACAATTAAAGAATAAGACAATAATAGGGATCTTTTGATTCTACCAATATATAATTAAACAATTATATCTAGTGACTCAATGTTTCCATCTACACCACAATCTACCTTCATGCCCTTTCTTGGCATTTAGTGCTTTTTTTAAGTCTGTTGTCATCCTTGTTCTTTGTTAGTTTTAAATTATTCCCCAGTGTCATTTTTTTCACGCAAAAACATGAACTCAAACGTATATAATAAACATTCATATTTAAGTATCACTTGCACACTGCAGGTTTTAAGTAAATAATTCCCTCCTTTCTCAACACATTATGAGTTTAGTTCTGCTAGATCTATTCACACTGGCTACAATTTCAATATTCAACCTGCAACTTCAATTAAATAATTATCTTGAGTGGCCAGGCTGGGAAAGCGTGCCATTAGAGGAGCCAGCATATAATAACCTCTATACATTAAATATCATTATATAAATATAATTAATGCTGATACATTCTTTTTTGTATTAATAAAGTGTGACTCTTCCAGTTGATTTCCTGGCAGTGGAGAAAATTGAAGGGTTAGTTTGGTTTCTTGGCAGCTGATAATATCTACTTAAATGATGAGCCTAGATTTTGGTGCATGAGTAAAATGAAATCTTGTCTCATTCTATTGTCTTACACTTTGCTGTAATGTTATAGTTAGGCAGATCAGAGAGAGAAAGAAGCATTGTGTGTGGGACCATTGCTACCTTGGGATCATCATTACTATTTCACCAAACTAACAATATTCAGGTTCATCTTGGAGGATTACTAGATAATTTCATCTATTTCTACTCTGAGTTGTACATATACATTTTTGAATCTGTTCCATTTCCTTATGTATTTATATAGTGCTTCTAAGGTATATTTCTGAATATTTCAAAACATACATATCCAAATCCATTAATCCTAAAGTAGGTTAATTTATGTAGTTTTTGGCCTGTTTTTAGCAAAACCTGCATTACCAAATATATATAAATGGAATTTTGAACCAGTAAATTCTGATCTGCAAATTAGTCCAGGATAAATAGAGTAGAATAGAGTAGAGTAGAGTAGAGTAGAGTAGAGCAGAACAGAACAGAACAGAACAGAACAGAACAGAACAGAACAGAACAGAACAGGAAAGGACATTGTAAGTCTTCTAGTCCAGCCTCCTGCTTAAGCAGGAGAAGCTATACCATTTCAGACAACTGACTGTCCAGTCTCTTCTTAAAAACCTCCAGTGATGAAGCAACCACAACTTCTGGTGGCAAGCTGTTCCACTGGTTAATTGTCCTCACTGTTAGGAAGTTTCTCCTTAATTTCAAGTTGCTTCTCTCTTTGATCAGTTTCCAATCATTGTTTCTTGTCCTGCCCTCTGGCGCTTTGGAGAATAATTTGACACCCTCTTTTTTGTGGCAACCCCTGAAATATTGGAATGCTGCTATCATGTCACTAGACAAGTTATGAATGAGGGCTGCCATATCCATTTGCAAAAAAATTAATGCAGACTGCTAAATGGCAACTGAACTAAGTTTCCTGTATGGCTTTGCTGCTGTCTAGTTGGTCATCTAGATTTTGTTTCCAAAATGGTCATCTAGTAGCCCTATCAAATAGACTTCATGAGGTTAATCAAGCAACTCTAACAGACAAATTAGATTGTGTGAATACTGCAGCGAACTCATCATAACAGCAGTTTATGAAGTTTACTTCTAGAGAGGTATATATCGGCATATAACCTTAATAATCCAATTACACTCTTAAATTAATTGGAGAAACAAGAAGGAAAGGAAGAAGGATGTTGGCAATAAGGTATCATCTAATAAGCACTTTCCTGTCCTAGGAAAAAAAACTAATTTACTAAAATAGGTATATGTTTCTTTTTTGGCTATAAAAGTCCATTAAAAGCCCATACCTTGTGAACAAATGGTTTGAGCTGTTTGTTGTGTTCTACTTGTCTGCCAAAATATGAGGAATGTTTTGCAATGTCTACAAAAGTCTATGATTAGGCTGATATGCATGTTGACGCATATGAGAAAAATTCAGCCTCTTAAAGAATTTTTTAAAACTTGTCTAGATTGGATGGAGAATGTCACTGTATCCTGAATAATTGTAAATAGTCACTAAACATGCAATCTATTTTAATTCCTGCCCTTTTATAAAGAAAGAAATTTTCTGGCTGAAATCAAGAGGCAAAATTATATTCCTGGATTGCAGTCCATTGGGAATGTCATAGATATTCATGTGAACATCCAATTAATTATCCACAGTAATTAACAATTTGCCCAAGAGTATCTGAAAAGCCATCCAGAATCCCTTTGTAGAGTGAGATGAGCAGCATATGAATTAATGAGATAAATAAAAGGAAAATATCACAATTTATACAAGTTTACTTTCTGAAAAAAACAAATAACTTCTAGTTAGTTTCATGATATTGGAGCAAGCTGATAATACTATTGTCTTCCTGACCTGTTACTAATTTCCACTGAAAAAGACCTAACACATCAGACCTTGTTACTAATTCAGCAAAGCCAATTATATTCCCTTATTCTAAATCAAATCAACTGTCTCTCTAATTCATACCAAATAACAGCGCATAACATCATTTTCCCATCAACCATTGTCAGTTGTCAGCATAATCACCTGGCTAGTAGAAGAGCACAGTGCTCTTCTATTAATAGCAGAAAACAGATAATCTTGGCCAAAATAAGACAACTTATCACCTAATCAGCTAACTGATGAAGAAGATATCATGATTTCCTTCTCTTAATGATGATAATAACCCAATGATTGTTCAGTATTTCTGAGAAGAAGGAAGAAGAAGGAAAAGACTAAGGAAGGATTAAGGAAGACTAAGGAAAGAGGGGGACAAGATGTATAAAGATATGCATATGGGTATATGCAGGGGTGGGATCCAACCGGTGTAACTACCAGTTCAGTGATTTTACATTTTGCTGCGTGCGCATGTATATTGTCATCATCTAGCTGCCTGGACAGCTGAGCAGTACTGTGTGCGGGTGCGCAGCAGTTGAAAAAGCACTTTTTTCCTGCTTTTTCAACCGCAGCTGTGTCATGCAAAGCAATTGCAGTTAAAAACACAGGAAATAAAGGTCAGGTAAGAGCCGGGTGGGTGGGTGGGTGAGCCAAAACAGCAGCAGACATAGAAACAGTTCTATCTATGCTCTCTGTTTGCTGCTTTTCAGAGCAACCGGTTCTACAGAAGTGGACAGAACCGGTCTCAGCTGTTCAGCCAGATTCCAGGAAGAAAGGGAAACAAAGCTCTCATGACAAAGCTCTACAAAATGAGTCTTTATTCATCCATATACTGCTCCAGATTCAGGTAATAACAAGGATCAAGATAATATTAAAGTCAGCTCTGGCGCTCACCGCAACCAGAGCTGTATGAGATTACCCACCATCTGGTGGAAGCTACCGCTAAATATCCGGTTACTATGTGATACCCCAGATACCGTGCATTCACCCGTTAAGTGTCCACCCTCCATTACCGTACCCTCGCAACGTCCTAATCCCCATATCCCACCATCACCCTTGTGTCCACCTAGTGAATATCCCTCCAGAAGTCATTAATGTAACGTCCAGCATGTTAATCGCTCTGCTGATAGTTGCCCACAACTTGTGACAGTTCAGTGTCTGACGTCATCAGGACTCATCGGCAATCGTCATCGGCAATCCAAACCCCACATCGGTTGGCTATCAGGTATTTCCTAATGCGGTAGAACACTCAGATGCTGGTGTCACGGCTTCAGCATGCCGTTGGGACGTGACTCCGGTAGAATCCCACCCCTGGGTGTATGTGCTTATGAGATCCAGTAATGAATGCATGATGTTCTCAGGATGGAAACGTTTGACTACTTATGATTTGAATGCTGTAATTTTCAACACATTATTGAGAATTTCAACAGTATTTCATACTCTCATGTTCAAACTGATCGCCCAATTTTAAAAAAGCACATTTTTAAAGTGCTCGATACAAAAACTATCACCACAACAAAACTGCTTTGGGTCACTGGTGGCAATAAGTAGTCAAAAGGGGGCAAAAATTGTGCTTCCAGTATTGTGTGCCTGTGTTAATATTTTGCTTCCTTAATAATTTGGAGCTGAATAGGATCTCTTTACCACTGCAAATTATTCTCTTTACCACTGCAAATTATCATATTGAAAAAACTGAAATTGTTTATATGGGTTCCCCTTGTTAGCACCCACCCTCTTAGATGAATGGAATGTTTTGGGAAATATTGAATAGGCAGAGTATTATATTTTCCCTAAAGGAGTAACAAGTTTCTAAAGACAGAAACTCAGAGCTTCAGCTCCCTGCCCCCAGCAGATATTTGGTGCCCATTGAGAAGGACTGGGCCAGCCTATCTACAAAACAAAAGACCTTCAGCTTCAGGATGATGGGATTACCCTTCAGGGCAAAGCCATTCAGTCACAATAGAAACTGCACAACGAAGCCCCTTCATTGCATCAGCCCAAGCTTCAACCAAGTTTGACTCAGATAACCTACAAAATCAGCTATGACCCCTGCATAGCCCCATGGGAGTCTGACAGCAACCAATAGAATACATGCCCTTGGCACAGGAACAGAAAGATCAAAGGCAAGGTCCAAGAGAGGGTATAAATAACCCTCAGTCTCTACTCCATGTAGTCAGGTGCCCAGGACCATGTGGACCCATAATCCATGTGGTACTGTTCATCAATAAACCATTTTTCCAATCAACCTCCATGTTTCCAGTGTCTTTCTCCCCACTTGGAACTGAACCAGATGGATATTTCTTCCAACATTACCTTTCCCAGAGTTAAAACATCAGATTTTCCTCTGCACTAAGTCACATCCACTTCATAAAATATGTGGCAATCAGCATCAACTTCTCTCTGAGGAGCACATGTTGCTAAACCCTCCAACAAGAACTACAAGCTCAGTCCTGCACAAACTGAAACCTTGATGCATAGTGATTCTGGGGAAGCGACAGTTTGCAGCAAATTCAGTACCATGTTTTTTCTTATTCCTGGAACCCAAAACGCTCTTTAGCATTCTTGCTTGGGAGTGTTTAAGATTTTTGCTTTCAGACAGAGCTAAATAGCACAATCGCCTGCCTGCATCAAGGGGATATAAAAGAACTTTACAGAAATAACATGTTTTTCCATGTCCTACCTTTTTTGTCAGATGTCTTGCCAAACTCCACTGTGGGCTTGTTTATACTATCCAGGGATACCAAGGTCATTCCTGGAGATCTGAGGTCCTGGATTAACAATTTTGAGCTTCTATTTCCTACCATGAGCTGTAAGTTCCCAGCCTTGACAAG